AATTGTATCACCTGATGATTAGACACCCCAGCTTATTTCACCCAAAGATTAACCAAACCCTAACGCTAACCTAACCTAACCTAAACCTAACCTAACCTAACCCTAACCTAACCCTAACCTAACCTCTCCAGACAGCGTTATGGTATATATTTATCAAGTGAACTACTGTAAGGTGGGGTGTTTAATCTTCAGGTGATCATATATATCAATACGTGAATCGTGTTCTGGAATAAAGGCGAGCCAGTGCAGTTTCAGAGGTGTCCGGTTTTCCAGGTTGTGTTGGCGAAGGGGACTAAAGTTCCTCATATTCCGCCATAGGATAAGGATTGGTAACCATAATGGAGTACCATACACGTTAACCCACACATACATACATACCATACACGTTAACCCACACATACATACATACATACATACCATACACGTTAACCCACACATACATACATACATGTCTCCTGCCTTACCTCCTAAACACATTAAATATTCACAAGAAACTAACTTTTTAACATGTCTCGGTCACTTACAGACCCTGGACCGCTGAAGGCCAAGCCACACCCCCCACCACTTCCCCTCCCCCACCACATCCCCCCTCCCCCCACCATCCCTTCCCCACCACATCTCCCCATGTCCCTCCCCCCCCCACCCTTCTCCCCCCACCACATTCCTCCCCCCACCCATCCCCTCCCCCACCCACATCCCCTTCCCCATCCCCTCCCCACCATCCCCTCCCCACCACATCCCCTCCCCACCCTCCCCTCCCCCCACATCCCCTCCCCCCGCCACATCCCCTCCCCACCACATCCCCCTCCCCCACCACATCCCCCTCCCCCCCCACCATCCCCCTCCCCACCACATCCCCCCTCCCCCCCACCCCGTTCTCAACAAAGTATTAAATCAAGTGAGATAAACAAATGACTAACGGGGATTAGAGTGTCATGGTAAGGGTGAAATATAAGTTTAATTTAGTTATATAAACAAAAGCTTCCAGTCTATACTAGTTCAAGTTCATCCTGTTTCCACCATTACCACGTCACTTCCGCTCACTGACACACACACACACACACATACACATATATATATACTCATACATACACACGCATACATACACACACACACACACGCATATATACACACACACTCACGTTTTCTTGGTCGACACAAAGTCACCTGTTCTTTATCTCAGGAAACACACGTGATAGAGAAGTCGTCTGGTGGCTGGCTAATCCGTGATAACCTTAGGTCGTTTTGAGGGCAGGTGACAAAATTCAGTATACACACACACACACACACACACACACTCAGGAAAGACAGACAGTCAGACAGACAGACAGACAGAATGGCCCTCTACAACACTTCATAATTACAGAATACAAACACAAATACATTTATTTAACTTTATTTAATGTTCAGTATATCACCTTTGACACATACTAATTATAGCAGCACGTGTTACCTGTGTGTGTGTGTGTGTGAGGTACCTTGATTGCCTACCTGTGTAATGTTTTGGGTGAAATAAACTAAGGTATCTTTAACTGGGGTGTCTAATCTTCACATGATCCAGATATATATACAGACGTACAGATACATTGACTACTGAACTATTACGTAACCATAAATAAGTCCTCTTCATTCAGCTAAATATAAATGTTGTTTTTGTCTAAAGTTGAAAAGGATGAGTAACATATTGCACAATCACCGGCAGAGTCAAGTCATTTTGCCAGGGTGCCAACTACCCCTTTCCCTATAACCCCCTGCCAAGACGGTATATTTCTGGTTTCATCACTAAGTATACCACGCTATTAATATACGGAGTCAGGTGCATCAGACTCAAGTTGGCACTGGTTAACTATTTTACTACTACTGCTATTATTACTATTATTATTACTATTAGTATTTAGCCGATATAACCTACTGTACAGTGGATCTACTTAAGGGGAGAAAAACAAATGAGCATCAGTTAAAGTGAGAGATAATGAATATAAGGAAAATATACAGACAATGAGACGATACAGAGAATGATGAAAAATTACCCCAAAGATAAATAAATGAAGAAGAATTCGAAGTTGTATTGGAAGAAAGCTGAGAGAATGAGTGTGAGAGGCATGGGGGACTGTTGGGTAATGTTCGTAGGAGTGCGTTAAGACTGTGTAGTGTCGTGATGCTGGTTTAGGGACGGTATGGTGAGAGGGGTTAAGACTGTGTAGTGTCGTGATGCTGGTTTAGGGACGGTATGGTGAGAGGGGTTAAGACTGTGTAGTGTAGTGATGCTGGTTTAGGGACGGTATGGTGAGAGGGGTTAAGACTATTAATAGTGTCGTGATGCTGGTTTAGGGACGGTATGGTGAGAGGGTTAAGACTATTAGTGTCGTGATGCTGGACTTGGACATTATGGTGAGAGAGGAGTTAAGACTTTAATAATAGTGTCGTTATGCTGGTTTAGGGACGGTATGGTGAGAGGGGTTAAGACTGTGTAGTGTCGTGATGCTGGTTTAGGGACGGTATGGTGAGAGGGATTAAGACTGTGTAGTGTCGTGATGCTGGTTTAGGGACGGTATGGTGAGAGGGGTTAAGACTGTGTAGTGTCGTGATGCTGGTTTAGGGACGGTATGGTGAGAGGGGTTAAGACTGTGTAGTGTCGTGATACTTGTTTAGGGACGGTATGGTGAGAGGGATTAGGGACAAGTGAGAAGGTTGGTGAGTGGTGTTGATGGGATGGTGAGGGGTGGTGAGAGATACAAAGCACGAGTGAGGGGGATGGTGAGAGAGGGGTGGTGAAGGATGAAAAAATCGTCAACAGTGATAAGTGAAACACACAAAGGAGGAATGTCTCAGCTATTGGGTTAAATTATAAATAGCAATGAATTAATGAGTGTAAAGGAGAAAAACGAATAAACCGAAATTAAATGAAGACAAAAAAGTTACAAAAATAAAATACACGAGGTTAATAATAACAGTTAAACGCTGTGGATCTGACGAAATTGCGCGTGTTTTTGTGGTGACGTCACTATTCCTGGATGTCCCATGCCAAATACAGTGACCAGATTATATAATACTTAGATATATTAATGAATTCCAAAGTCCATTATTATGTCAATATGTCCCAGTCTACGTGATAAGTCCCTGAGCTGTGAATATTTTTGTGCCATGTCATTGAATGGATGCGTAAAGGTTAGCCCCTTGTTATTTCACTTTAATATTATCCTCCAACTTATTTCACCTGAAGATTAACCACTCTAAAGCTAACCTAACCTAACTTAACCTATCCTTCCTATGTAATATTGAAATTAGTGTGTTTAATCATCAGGTGAAAATAAGCTTGCGAGATAATACGCTTAGGGGGAGAAGCTTGGTGGTAGAGTTATCACCATATGTTAGTGTTATTCCGTAGGTTGTAGAGTTATCATCCATCTGTTAATAATTGTTCCGTTAGCCAGAAGAGATTAACAGCAGTATTCCGTTGCATGTGGTGGTAGTGATGGTAGTACAGTAGTAGTAGTAATGGTGGTAGTGGTCTACGGAGTGCAGCTGTGTGTGTGTGGTAATCGGTCAGCACCCCTCTAGCGTCAGCGGAAATGACGGAGGCAGCTGCTGCGGCTCTCCTCCACTTGCTCGGCTCATTCGCTCTCCCCTTTTCTGGCGATTTTGAGGGTGGAAGGGTTTAACATTGCTCGATATCACACAACTTTTGCTCTTTACTTTACCACTGTCTGTTCACCCAACAGGCAGCATGTGTGATATTGAGGGAATGTGGGAAAATAAAATGGTTTGTCGTGGAGCTTTGTGGAGGGGAGGAGAGGGAGGGGGCGGTGGGGTGGATTTTGATAGAATCGTAACGTTAATTCGTCTGTCTGTCTGTCTGTCTCGATGATTGGTGATCTGTTTGTATTTAAGTTTTCTTTATACTTAGATCACTTGAAGATTAGACACCCCAGCTTATTTCACCTGATGCTTAACCTAATCCCACAGGTAGCATGGGTGTGGTCTAATCTTCAGGTGATCCTTAAACGTAATACAAATTTATCATCAAATAAACACTAAAAGATAACATCAAAAGATTTACATTAACTATTTTTATCACACACACACACACACACACACACACACACACACACACACACACACTGACCTTGCCCTTCAGTCTTCAGAGGGTCAGACGTGTGTGTGTGTGTGTGTGTGTGTGTGTATCATGTTTGGAATGGATGGCTTATGTGTATGGATAATTATTAAAGACCTTATTATTGTGGTTGGAAGGACAGACAGACAGACAGACAGACAGACAACCTAACATATGACAAACTAACCCGACCTACCTTAACTAATCCTGATTTAACCTGACTAATCTGTCCCTTCAACTTGGGGATAAAATAATAATAGTAATGAAGAATTGCACCCATACATGTAATAGATATAAATGTACCTGATAAATATTACAAATTAAAATAAGAATTATACATATAACAGAAGAGGGCGTCCCCAGGGGGTGTATCGTAAGGGGAGGGAGCTGAGGCAGGAGAAAGGAGGTAAGAGGGAAGGGCGAGAAAGGGCAGGCAGCAGTAGGCGATCAGGGAAGGCAGGAGAAAGGTAAGTGGAGAGTGGCGGGAGGGAGGCGGGGAGAAGGTGGGTGAGGTGTGGTAGGTCGTGGGAGAGAGAGAGGTGACTAACCGGGATGTTTTTACATGAATCAGTTATATTTATGTATTTCTATTAATTAGGCATGTTGTAATAATAGTAAAAACAAAACAAAAACATCATATATGCATTGTGAGTTGGGATAGATCATATTTTCTCCCAAATGTGTCCCGTGGCCGAGTAGAAACGGCCGTTGTGCGTCCAACCATCGTTACACGATAATGATTGTCACGGCGTGGGTGTCGGCCACCAATATTTTCCGTGCAGTGAGCAAGATGGTATAATTGTCTTGCCTTCCGTTGAGGTGACGTCCACCGAGGAAATCGCAGTATAGGGTAATTATGTGTGTGTTGCCCATGACTCACTGATAGCAAGGTTTGAACTGGTAAAAAAGAAGCGCTAGCAGATGGCGACATCTAGCAACTCCCGCTAGTTGAGTCATCGGTTAGGGAGTTTCTCTGCCGCTTGGTCGCCTGGCAGTTGAGCTTTGGATTTCAGAGAGGTAGGACGCTTTCTTTGCTCATAGTGAGTGTAGTGGTAAAAATCTTGTGAATTTATTTCTGAAGGCACAATACAGCTAGCTGAAACTTCTGCGCCTTCCGAAATGGATCAGTTTTCACCATATGTTTCTACTGAGTTTTCTCGCTTTTAACTGTTCATTTTGAAAATGCCGGCGGCATAAGGAAACTGCGCCTGGTGATACTAAATGCTTAGCAGGCCTCAAGTGAAGCATTATTGTATCGTGTTTGTAATCATAATTAAGTTGTGTGTCATTTAAGTGTGGGAGTATGAATGTGGCGCGGTTTGTATGTTAGAGCCGGTGTCTGACACAGGCGGCGTGAGAGGGTGTGGCAGGGGGGGAGGGGGGGGTGTTAGGCAGCGTCTGGATTATGTCGAGCATCGCACTCAACTTAATTATTACTACAGTGCGAGAGGTATACCTTAATATACCTCACAACCGGAGCTGAGAGAGAGGTATTTGTAAGACGGTCGTAAGCGAAGCCTTGAAATCATTCTGACCTGAGTTGGAGGCGAGAGCTCGGGTGATGTGTTGACTGGCTAGCTCATCTTAAAAGCATTGTTAGAGTGAAACGTAATTAGGTGTTCTTATTTACGAAATAGATGTAAATGTAAAACTATGCGAGTTTTAAGATTTTAAACTAGAAGCATTAGGAAGTTGGAATTTGTTGTTTCAATGTCTTTGTCTTGTGGCTGGAGGGTGGTGTGTGTTGTGTAGGCCAGGTAGGTTCGTCAGCAGGAAATCCGGCTGTGTATGTGAGGAACAGCCATGTGGACAGACCTGCAGTGTTTAACGGAGTCGCGGTAACGGCAGCAGATGGCCGGCGTTGTCGTGGCCCGCTGTAGGCGCCGTCCTGTTACCGCTTGAGCGGCAGGTGTGGTTGGTACTTCTCTTGGTTGAATACCACCTCCACACCAACGTTTTATACCGACTACTGTACCTTGTGTGGCTGACAATGTTCGACGATCCCTTGTGTGGTGTGCATGGCGGACGCTCGACGACCCCTTGTGTGTGTGGCAGACAGGCCTGAACCCCTTGTGTGTGTGGCAGACAGGCCTGACGACCCCTTGTGTGTGTGGGCAGACAGGCCCGACGACCCCTTGTGTGTGTGGCAGACAGGCCTGACGACCCCTTGTGTGTGGGGCAGACAGGCCCGACGACCCCTTGTGTGTGTGGCAGACAGGCTCGACGACCCCTTTGTGTGTGTGGCAGACAGGCTCGACGACCCCCCTTGTGTGTGGCAGACAGGCTCGACGACCCCTTGTGTGTGGGGGTGACAGGCCTGACGACCCCGTGTGTGTGGCAGACAGGCCTGACGACCCCTTGTGGTGCAGACAGGCCTGACGACCCCTGTGTGTGTGGCAGACAGGCCTGACGACCCCCCCTCGACGACCCCTGTGTGTGTGGGCAGACAGGCCTGACGACCCCTTGACGACCCCTTGTGTGTGTGGCAGACAGGCCTGACGACCCCTTGTGTGTGTGGCAGACAGGCCTGACGACCCCTTGTGTGTGTGGCAGACAGGCCTGACGAGACACGACGACCCCTGTGTGTGGGCAGACAGGCTCGACGACCCCTGTGTGTAGACAGGCAGGGGCTCGACGACCCCTTGTGTGTGGCAGACAGGCCTGACGACCCCTTGTGTGTGTGGCAGACAGGCCTGACGACCCCTGTGTGTGTGTGTGGCAGACAGGCTCGACGACCCCTGTGTGTGTGTGTGGCAGACAGGCTCGACGACCCCCTGTGTGTGTGTGTGGCAGACAGGCTCGACGACCCCTGTGTGTGTGTGGCAGACAGGCCTGACGACCCCTTGTGTGTGTGTGTGGCAGACAGGCCTGACGACCCCTTGTGTGTGTGTGTGGCAGACAGGCCTGACGACCCCTTGTGTGTGTAGACAGGCCTGACGATGTGTGTGTGACAGGCTCGACGACCCCTTGTGTGTGTGTGTTGACGACCCCTGTGTGTGTGTGGCAGACAGGCTCGACGACCCCTCAGACGACCCCCCCGACGACCCCTGTGTGGCAGACAGGCCTGACGACCCCTGTGTTTGACAGGCCTGACGACCCCTTGTGTGTGTGTGGCAGACAGGCTCGACGACCCCGTGTGTGGGCAGACAGGCTGACGACCCCCTGTGTGTAGGCAAACGCCCTGACGACCGCTTGTGTGTGGCAGACAGGCTCGACGACCGCTTGTGTGTGGCAGACAGGCTCGACGACCGCTTGTGTGTGGCAGACAGGCTCGACGACCCCTTGTGTGTGGCAGAGTTTCAACCCCGTGTGTCGCAGACTGGATTAAACCCTTGAATATGGCAGACTAACTGAACCAACTCTTGTGGGAGAGGATTGGCAGACTCGCGTTTTGTGTTAAAATACTGGCAGACAGAAGTTGTCCCTTCTATTCCTTTAGACACTGGCGTAATTTGAGACAAGCAAATTTTTCGCACAAAATTTAAGGTGAAAGTTGAACAGTGATATTTACGTAGTCTAAAGATCTTGTTACTTGATGGTTAGGTTTGGTTAGTTTGTCCACAGGTTTCATGAACTGTTCAGCCTCTTTTTCCATGGGGGGTAGCGTTGTTTAACATGGTGTGATAAGGAAGGACATCGTAACTTGGCGGGTTTAGACACTCGTGTAGTTGTAGGGTTTCCTTTCCGTAACATTGTTCACCACTGCTTCACCAGGCTCAGTCAGTTTCAACATGTGATGTGTTCTATACATTTTTAGAATACCACATTATTTTTTCCATGGTTCTTGTTTAGTGTATAGTCTGTTGAATGCGTAAAACATCATCAGGTACTGTAGTTTACATTGTACCGTTTCATCTTAAAAGTACAAGGATTTACCGATGTATAGTTACGTATTAAATCTTGATAGGTGGTCCGTGCATCGTGTTTATCTGGGTGGTCTAACGAATAATGTAGAGGTCGAGTGTGTGGTGGAGCTTGTAGTGCTATGGCAACAGCGGATATCCCATGTTAACAGTTGCTTGTACTTTAAATTCCTGGTCAAACTAATCACCTATTCCCGATCTACTATGGCAATATGTAAATTCTTTCTGTATAAAACATGTTATTTTATACCCAACAATATAACCATGATAAATCTGTGGCTCCCAACGGTGCCTCCAGCCACTTACGGCACCCGCATGCAGCTCCCAAACGCTCGGTTTAAAGCATCCTTGTGAGCTTCCATCCACTGAACAGGGTGATTTTAATTTTCATGCCTAACGAAAAGAACCGGTGGCATTAAATATATAAACTGTTTTAATTTGAATTATAGTTTTCGTAAGTTTATTAAGCTAGGTGTCATCGGAAGTGTATAAATCTTTGACTGATCTGCTCTTGGGTGCCGAGGTAAATTTGCTTGTTCTCCATATTTGACTAATTTAGGTCTACTGTAGTACGTGCTCTATGTACCACAGTTTCCTTGCATATTGTACGTTAGTTCAGCAGTTTTGCGACTAAAAATAGTCCATGCTAAACAGTTACGATTGTCATGGATGGCGGGGGGAAAAAAAGTTTGGATTACAACTCTTGGGGAACCGCCTGCCAGATTTGACGAGCTGTGGCTATGTCAGTGAAGCTGTAGACCATAGATGGACAGAACCTTAGACTCACAGGAGCGATTGTTATATTTTTTCCTTAACTGATGAGAGCAGCCAAAACACTCGTTCATATATTTATTCCCAGTTAAGGACATAGATGGTATCTAAATCTAGGGGAATCCAGGTCTCGAGCGGCTGTCAGTTTGGGGATTTTCCCTGGTTACCCATTTCCTTGCAGGAGTCCAAAGTAACATGTTTAACGTGAATTAAAGATTTTTATCATTGAAAACTATATGGAATGAAAAAAATATTCAAGACCGAAAATAATTTGTGGATAAGTTAATAGTAAAACTTAACTTTATACACCTTTAACTTGTAACCTTATTTAGGGTTGAGTGGATCACGAAGGAAAGGTGGGGGGGGGGGCGGCATGAACATAATGAGTCACGTAACAGGGAACAGCGGTGACTTAAATCCACCCCCACCCTCCTTGTGGGGGGACCTCAATGCCCGACACCCCAGTCTGCTCTCAGGGGCCCTACCCAAAACTCCCGGGGTAACTCCTGACTTTCGTACCCACAAACCACTGATGACCCTGTTATCAACACCTCTTCCCTCCCTGACCAGATATCCCTCCTCCTAGAGACAGGCCTGGCATTTGACATTATGAGGGACCTGCCACACTGCCCTAAACAGATAAATTGTACCGGGAATTTTCCCCCTCCACACACTTATCATTGTCACTTTATGTAACTTGCTGACAAAACCCATTACCCTTCAGGCTTTTATGCCCCGAATGCAGGAGTCATGAAGGCAAGCATGAAGAACCTCGCATGCTTCCCAGATGGGCGCCGTAAACGCTTTTGCGCTTCACCTTGCACAGGATGACAAGGGGGTGCCCAATAAACTAGCCCCCTCGGGGGCAAATATAAAACAAATACTAAGCAAGAACGGTGATCCTGTTAAGCCGCCGGTCTTACAACCTGGCGACCCAGAGTGCAGTTTTTTGTCGAGGCAACGCTAGATGACGCGCATTGGCAATTATACAGTGTAATATATATATATATATATATATATATATATATATATATATATATATATATTATGAATAAAATGGCTTTTTCGTTGAAAAAAATAAAGGTAGCTGTAAATTAACTAATCGCCAAGTAAGCTTTATTTCTCAAACGAATGTATTTAGCTTGGCAGTTATTTCACCACAGACTAGAACTATAACTGTCTTTGTATTTTTAATTTTTATTGCTTTAGTTAAGGTGGTACTGGGTGCAGTAGCGTCATGGCTGTTGTGGTGTTTCGGAGCTCCAGTGTTGCCTCCTGTACCTCTATTGTCGTGGTAACCGTTTACATGCTACTACGCTTTGGTTGGGAGTATTAGCTGCTGTTGCAACTACATTGAGTAGCTACAACCACTCGTAAGAAAGA